AGGACTTGGCATTGCTACTTTCCACTTGTTGATATATTTTAGTCGATCATTGTTATATCTATAACTTATCCCCTCTCGAATACTCAATCGAGAAGTATATCCAATTCATCGAGGGTAGTGTTATTAACAATGACGTTCATTAATAACCCTTACTATTAGTCAAGTATAGAACACCGCCATATACCGACTTGATAGTAGCATTTAATCACTTAACTCCTTGATGAAATCAATTGAGATTGATAACCTCAACACAACGGTTTTGGTTTAACCAACAAAATTAATCCCTCTTAAGTTTATTAACCACGACCGTGCATTAATTAACCGAAGTTACTTACTTGTGAAATCATCAACGACTAACAAGCGTATTCGTCGATCGATTCTAGTAATAATTAATAAATGAAACAAAACTAGTTGATCCTTTAAGTAATGTTCAAAATATTAATATGAAATATGAATAGGAATTAATTAATATTCAAGGAAGAATATTAAAGATGATAAATCCTACTATAACTAATGTCAAGATGTTAACTAATTGTCATCTTAGCAACACTCCCCAACATTAATATATAGAGGAAGAAAATAAATACTACTATAACTGATGTCGAGGTGTTAATTAATTGTCATCTTAGCAACACTCCATGATATGCACTAATTAGGAGTGCATAAGTGTATGTTTTTATGTCTGATTTGTGTGTATTGTTTATCGTTTTATTTAGTTTGTAAACATTTGCGTGATTTTAGTTGTAATTGTATTTTAATCTTCATTTGTAAGTTGGAAAGTAGAATTAGGAATTATGGTGTTGGAAAGAGAGACTTTGAAGTGAAGAAAAATGAGATTAGACTGTCCAGGAGCTGAAACCCGACCGGGTATAACACTTGACCCGGTCGGGTAAGATTTAACAAACGAAGAAGCTCAGGAAATTTCCAGACCCGGTCGGATGAGGTATTTCAAATGTGACCCGGGACAAAACGACGTGCTGAAACACAAGAACATGGAAAATTATCTGATCTTGACATGCACCCGGTCGGGTGGGCACTTGACCCGGTCGGGTACACGGCCAAGGTGTTGAAAAGCACCTATAAATAGCACACTTTTCCTTCACTATTTTCCATCCCTTCTTCCATATACTTAAGCTCAGTTTAGAATAGTTATTTCTTATATTTTTATAGCATGTTTAGTTTCCAAATGAGGAGCTAAACTTCCATTTCTTGGTTTTGCTCTTGAAGCTTGTTGATTATTAAAGTTGTGAGTTATTTTCTTAACTTCTTCTCTTGATTATTAATTCTTCCCTTAATCTCATTCTATATTAATGTTGGAGGGTTGCTAAGTGACGATTAGTTAACGTTCCGACATTAATGATTACTAGAAACGATCAACGAACCAATAGTTAATCGTTGATGGTTTCACAAGTAAGTAACTTCGGTTTATTAATGCACGGTCGTGGTTAATAAACTTAAGAGGGATTAATTTTGTTGGTTAAACCGAAACCGTTGTGTTAAGGTTATCAATCTCAATTGATTTCATCAAGGAGTTAAAGAGATTAAATGCTACTATTATATCGGTATACGGCGTTGTTATATATTTGATTAATAGTAAGGGTTATTAATGAACAGTCGTTGTTAATAACTACCCTCGATGAATTGGAGATACTCCGCGATTGAGTATTCGAGAGGGGATAAGTTATAGATATAACAATGATCGACTAAAATATATCAATAAGTGGAAAGTAGCAGGACCAAGTCCCTTTTGTTCATGAATTAAATCACATATAACTCGTTCATCTTCGTTTTTAATTTAATTAAATCACTCAATCAAAACTCCCCCTTTATTTACTAGTTCCATAAAAAGAGAATTATTCCTTTCCCTGTGGATACGAACCTTACTTCAATATACTACGTGTATTTGTCGTATTGAATATTTATTTTGAGTGCACACCACGACAAAGCGCACGTCAAATTTGGCGCCATTGCCGGGGAAAGGCAACTAATTTTTCTTTTTATTTTATTTTAAGAAAAAGAAAAAAAATATAGTTTCAAGTATAAAGATTTCTATTTCTTCTGAGCTTTGTAGTATATGGTTAAATATCGTTCACTGAACGAAATCACCTACAAATCAAACCCCGAAATAGAACAAACTCTCGAGCGGTTGAAAATTAAATTCTCAAGCGCCGACTCGGGAGAATCATCAAGTGCTAGTTCCCACTCTAGCGACACCGAAGAGCCAATCACTATGGCTAATGAAACAAGAACATTGAGGGAGCTCACAGCTCCGAATCTTAATCAACAACCCCTTTGTATCACTTTCCCAACTCTTGATACGGGGGTCACATTCGAGCTAAAATCTGGGCTCATTCATCTACTCCCATCATCCCATGGTGCACGTCAGCACCTTTTTTGGTTCACCACTCCCACTGACTTGATCATTTTCTATGAATCGAGCATTACATGTCCCTGTGTTAGAGTCCCACACCGGATAAGTTTGAATAAACAAAGTGCTATTTAAGACATAGGCTATGCCTCCTATCAGGTTGACCTTTAAGAATGGAACCCTGAGTCTTAACATGGTATCAGAGCCAAACCGATCCATAACCATGATGTGGATCCCCTTATGAAAAATGAAGACATGATTATAAAAATGATAATGACGAATCGACGAAATGAAGAAGAATGATGGCACGATTCAGACAAAGTGTCTGGTCGTGAGAAGGGGTGTTAGAGTCCCACACTAGAAAAGTTTGAATCAACAAAGTGTTGTATTAAGACACAAGCTACTCCTCCTATCAAGTGGACCTTTTAGGATGGAACCCTGGATCTTAACACTCTTCAATTTCCGTACTATGACTATGATAATAAAACCTAAACTCTTTCGACTTTTCAGGTCAATAAAAAATTCATTAATTGTCCTCACATCAAGTTTCTTTTCATGTATGTCATGTGGATGCTATACAATTACTTCTGCATGACACCCCAAATATGAAGATGTATCAAACCAGGTTTCCTACAGTTCACAGTTCATAAGGGATCTTATAATGTGCCTTATTAGGAACCCGGTTTAACAGATATGCAACAGTCTTTAATCAATACATCCACAACAAATGGGGTAAGATAGAATAACCTAACATACACATAACCATTTCAATTAACATACGATTCCGCCTCTCAGCTACACCATTTTGTTGTGGTGTACCTGAAATTGTGTATTGAGTACAAGCAACGCCTCGACTTTCAAGGAATTTTGCGAATGGACCTTGACATTGTCCATATTTGTAACACTTGAGATTTAATATAAACGGATTAATAGTACTACTCATACCAACAGAGGTGCATCTCCTTTTACGGGAGCTCATCCGCCAAGAACTCCAAAGTTAAGCGTGCTTGCACGGGAGCAGTCTTGGGATGGGTGACCCCTGGGAAGTTTCTCAGGGCGCGCATGAGTGAGGACAAAGTGCGCGGTAAAGGCTTGTGGTGGTTTGTGAGGACAGTACTATTGGTCCGGAGTAACTACCTCGGGTCCCACGGGGCCGGGGTGTTACAATATTTATTGGGCTTTCCATAATATTCACCACCTCTACCAGACCTCACAAGCTTGACTTTCTTCTCTAAGTGCCTTTTCACCTTGTTGACAAACACCACTAGGATATATGCCGACTGGGCCTTATCATGAAGCGGATAGATGTATCCATATCATGAGTACGTATGTATGAAGGTGATCAATTTTTTTCCACCCTAACAAGGACTATCAACATGACCTTAAATATCAGTCTATAAATGTAAGTGATTGAGTGTGTGCTTTTTGTGAACGCTTTCTTTATTGAGTGTTTGGTTTGGTTTCCTTTAATGCAATCAACACACACATCTTAGTTAACAAAATCCGATTGAGATAATATTCCATTATTAACTAATTTGATTAACCTATCTTTGAAAATATGATCGAGGCGTCGGTTCCATAAGAAAGCTGAGCCCTCATTAAGTGCACTGCGATTAACTCCCACATAATTTGCAACATTAAGTGGAGATTAATTAAATATCAAATCAAGGTTAAAATGATATAGGGAATCAATCAACACATGCACTAGATTCATAAATAAAATTGTCTTTAAATCATGAAAAAGTATTGTCCCCAAACTTGATATGAAATCAAACATCCAACCTACTGATTGAAACAAAATTCTAGCACAATCAGGTAAATAATGACAATTATCTAGATCTGAAAGACATCTTGTTTCTAAGATCAATCCATGAGTCCATATGCCTTCACACTACAACAAAAAGTATCATTAGCGTCCAAATTATTAGCGTCGACATCAGTGGACACAAAAGACACTCTTTTTGTGTCGACATGTGGACGGAAAAGAACCCAAATATTTAACCGGTTGGAAGTTCCAAATTTTAACCATTTGCGTCAACACGTTGTAGCTAAAACGGAATCCCGGTATTTTTAATAATATTAGCGTCGATGGAGTTGACGCAACAACGAAATGTTAAAAAAAAAATATAAACGAGTAGACTATAGCGTCTACGGGTTGACGCTAATACTGAAATACACTTAAAGAACTGGCCGGCTGGTGACTTAGGGCGAATACACTCTCTATCGGTTAGGGCAGGACAAAACAACTACACGGTCTTCCTCCTTCCTGAGAGCTGGCCGGAAGAGTTCTTCTCAGCTCCCTACGATTCTCAGGTAATGGTCTTCCTCCTTCCTAAGAGCTGGTATATACACTAATGGGTTTGACTTAGAACACCGATGAACAGTCGTTTTCTTCCATTTTCCCAAACAATAGGAAATACAAATCTGCCATATACTTTTTCGAGAATGACGAAATCGAATGGTATTTCACACGATCAATCTATTTATATTCATCCATTCATGGAATTTTGCCCTAATTTTATATTTTGTCTTTTTTAGATCTGAAATACGTAGTATAAAACCCATTCAAACTCAATGAATGCCGTTTTTATGGAGTTTTTTAAGTAACATGCACTCCACCCTCCTTTAAAATAGATTATGGAGTTTTTTAAAACTTAAATTGCATCTATGGTCAAGTATTAGATAATTTGAAATGAAAAAACTAAGTTAAAAATGAATAACTACTTACAAAGTATATGTATGTACAAGTAACTGCTCTGATTATTGTCAACATTATTATGATTAAACTGTGCAGCAGGTTCCTCTACAAAGGGAGATAGACTGTCCTGCGTGTGCTGAAATTTCAAGGTGACATTGTTGCCTCTTATAATGTGATATATCTGCACTTTAGCTTCTAAGCTTTAGAGCTATATATATCTCATAACATCTCACATATGTCTATGCCATAGGTTTTACATTTTCCATATCTGGGCATCATACCAATTTAGTTCTGCCAGAGTTTGAAATGTGTGGTCTAATCTTAAGACACATTCCAATCCACAGGTGTTTGTGTTATTTCTTAAGGTGCAAGAGTGGTGCTTTGGTTTATCTTTCTTTGCCAATAATTAGTGATTGAGGATGCTAAAAAAAATCTTTGGGTGTAATCTCTCACTCTCTGTTTATCCATAACAAAGAATCAACCCCCAGGTAACCTCTCACTCTGTTTATATTTTCAGATTTAATCATCATATTTTTACTTGTTTTGTCTTTATAATTTGAGTTTGACAATTTTATGGTGTAAAGTGTTTACATGGATAAATATTTGGTACATCCAATTAAATGCCATAGTCATTCATCACTCATTTCATGAAGACTTACGTCCCAACCTATCATGTTTTTATTTTCCCACTTTTCATCACTGTTTGTAAATTAATGAGACGATGAAAGTAAAAACTTGAATCGTCTGCTCCCTCTTTAGCTTCTTTGCAAAATCAAAAGTACCTATTTATGTGTCATTGTCTTAAGCCTTAACTTACCAGGTTTTAAGTGTGCTATGCTATTAACCTATTCCAATTATTCATCTATCTTTCAAAACTTTCCCAGCTCATCATCAAACTTTTTACACTTTCTAAAGTGCGGGCTGGGTAAGTGGGTGTTACTTTAAAACAAATAATTACATCCTTCTCTTATCTAACCTCTTTCTAACCCCTTTTGAAATTTAAAAGATTGTTTGACTTTCAAATTGCTCTTGTTTTCATTGTAACATTCTGGTCATTTTATTCATTTCTATGATCCTCTCTGTCAGCTTAAAGAAAGTGTACTTATGTAAATTGACTTATGTATACTTATGTGAATTTTCAACTAGTTAGACAACTCCTACTATTCATTTCTCTGTTTTTTTTTGTGTTATTAATGCACTGGAATCCTAATGTGGGTAAATTCAGCTCCCACTATTGCTTTCAGTATGTGAATATAATTTCTCAATATGCTCCAGTTCTACTTTTTTATTTTTTATTTTGTTTTGTCTATTAATACTCTAAGTTTCCTAGTAAATTGCAGATTTTAAACTTGCATGACTTGGGGTTTGGTATTGCTTTTGCTTACTTAACTTATTTTCTTTTTTCTAAATGGAGTAGTATTCATGATAGTGATTGAGATCATTTTAGTTTTTTAGAATCTATTACGTTGTAATTTAATTAAAAACCTCAAGTTGTTTTATTCATCTCATAGCCTCAGCTTAAAAATTAAGTAATTTTGGACTTTGGAAAGGTTGAAAGAACTTTCAAGTTAATTTTTGTTTGGGCAGCATTTTGTTGGTCTTGATATGTTTTTTTTACAGATTTCTTTGCAGTCTTTACGGCTGTTTTTTTCAATTACTTGTTAGTTTGTTTTGTTTAGCTATATTTTGAATGAGGTTGAAGTTATTTTTTGTGTTCTGTAGTTCTTTTTGCAGATTTTTGACTCACCGTCGGGATATGAACCGATCAACTCAAAATAGTGGAATATCTGTGAAGGGGTCAGATGATGAAGTGTTTTATGGACAATTAGAGGACATTTACGAATTGAGTTACGGAGGTAACAATTCTGTTGTTCTTTTCAAATGTAAGTGGTACAACACAAGCTTAGACCGGCGAGGGAAAAGAAAGGGAACGAAAGAGTACAAGAATAAGATGAGCATATGCATCAAGGATTTTTGGTATGAAAATGAGCCTTTTATTCTTGCATCTCAAGCAGAGCAAGTGTTTTATGTTGAGGACCTTTACAATGGCCCACAATGGAGAGTTGTTGAACATTTTGGGCATAGACACATTTGGGACCTTCCCCCGGATCAAGAAGATAATATGTGTATTGTCCAAGATGTTGAGTCTTCGGGTATTGATTTGGATGTTGAAGTACCAGACTTAGACTCTATGTTATGGAATGACACAAATGTTTCACCAAATGTCGCTTCACCTGATGTGATTACTCTATATGAGAATCTTCAAGGTGGTTATACTATCAACGAAGAAGATGAGTATGATGAAGATGGTGAAAGTGAGTTTTTAAGTTATGGTAGTGGTAATGAATACGATGATGATGATGGCAATGCTGATGATGATGTTGATGATGATGATGATGATGAGAGCCTCAAATATATTAGTAGTGACGATGATTAAATACGAGGGTTTTTATTGTTAATTATGTTTGGATCATTTGTATGCACTTTATTTGTTTAGATGTTTTTTCACGTGACTAAATGACTTAATGGTTTTACATATATTTTGATGGTTATTGGTTTCCGGTGATTTTTGATTTACATTTAAATTATCCCTACATAAGTATGCACATATATAGGTGTACTTTATGGCAGAAACAATAGCTACATGTGCGGGTTCAAGTGGAGGATCCCAACCTCCACGAGATCCCCATAGAGTGCCATCTTCGTGTGAGTCAGGTATGATGTAATGCAATCAAAATTGTTAACACTTTTCAAAATATAAATTATTCATGATCAATACTAACTTATATTTTGTTTAATGAATTTTATAGGTTCAGAAACACAGAAAACAAAGCGGAAAGGGAGAGGTTCAGCCAAGGGAAACAACATTATGTTAGCCGTAGCTAAAGATGGAAAGATCAAAGTTCAATTTGATTCGGCAAGGAAAACATGGAAGGCAGTAGGGCCAAAAGCTTCTTGGTGGTCAAGCGCAATAGGCATACACACTCGGGACTGTTGTGATCCGTTCTACGATAAGTGGGACGATGTTCCAGCCTGTCAAAAAGCTATGATTCGACATAGGATGTTGGTAATTATAAAAAACTTGTCTTTTTTCTTGTTGGGTTTATTGATTTAAATTTATTTATTTCTAATGGTGATCATGTTCGGTTTAATGATTTAAATTAATTGATTTCTAATAGTGATCATGTTTTACATACTGTAGGACTGGTTTGAGTGCGATAATGACAAGCTTTTTGATGAAGTATTGATTCGAGATGCTCGAGAGTCCTACAACGATTGGAAAAGTGATTTATCTGTGTATTTCAAGAACAAAGGAGGAATGCAAGCTAAGAGACCTATAAATGTACGAAGTGATGAACAATGGCAGAAGTGTTGCGAGAGATTCAATTCTACAAAGTTCAAGGTTTAGTATGAGTATATTTCCTTTTTTATTATACAATTAAAGTTCTAATTTCTGACTTAGTTTCATATTTACAGGAAATTTCTTCGAAAAACCTACAAAATAGAGAAGCAAGTGATGATAAAAGTGGACATGGGAGAAAATCATATGCCCAATACATGCACGAAAAAGTAAGAAATGAGTCTTTGTTATTTCATTTTGAGTTGTGATATGTGGCAGTGATTGGGTGATTTCATATATTTGTTATTGGTGTTTGATGACATATGAATGTATGTTGTAATTTCCTTGGCAGTTTTTATGTTATATTGTAGTTTAATTGGGTGTCATGTTTTAGGTATGGTGCGGATTTTTTGTATGATTCATTGTGTTTTTTTTTGTTGTCTAGTTTTGTTTCGGGGTGTCTCTAAGGCCTTAATTTATATGTAGTTTATCTCTAGTATATATTTAATAAGCACTATGTATATCGCTTAGTCATATATTTCTGCTTTAGTTTTGCAGGTTTTTCAAAGATTATATTAAGTAGTACAATCCTTATTGTTGTGGTAGTGATTACTGATCGACCAATGTTAAAATTTCAAGCTACTAATTTAATGTTAATGTTATTTATTGATCATTCATGTTATTTTAGGTATTGACAATTATAATGAATATTAAACAGGATGATCCAGAAACTGGTGAGCAGTACTCAGCTCTTGAAAATTGGAAAGATCAACGTTTGACTCGTAGTGGCGAATGGAGAACAAAAGAAGCACATGAAAAATATGTAAGTATATTAAAAAACATTTTATTAATTCTAATCCTAATGATATGTAACTATATGAATTGTAATTTGATAGACTCAAATGAGTGAAGAGTACCAAACACAGCTAGGACAAACAGGGTCATCATCTTCAATAAATGAGATTGATATTATGCATCGGAACTTGAGAAGATATCGCGGACGCCAAAGCGGAGTGGGTCCTACCCTATCAAAGGGTGCATCTCGACGAGTGGAAGATGGCGCTACTTCAACGTTCCAAGACCACCGGGATGTTCAAATAAGTGAATTGAAGGCAAATCAAGAGTTGATGCAAGCAAATCAGGAGTTGATGCTTCGTGCCCTACAACAATTTATTCCTGGCTTTCAACTTCCTTCACACAGCTCCGCAAATGATGTTCCTTCTACATCAAGTGCTAACCAACCTGATCAGAATCTCGATGAAGATGATCAAGATTGATAACATGGAGTTGAATATGCTTTTTACTTGGTTAAGATGAACATGAATTTATTTATGTTTACATTTTGTGATGTTGTTGGTAACGATTTAATGAAACTCCGTTGTAGGATAACTCACTTTTACTATGGATATTGAATGAATTTATGTGTTGTTGACATTGGTTGTGTTTGGACAGATTGTGGTACTATTGGTTTATTAATAAAAGTTTTGTATGAATAGCAATAGGTAATGTGGTGTAATTTCAGACCTGTACAGTGCTATTTGCGTCACAATGTCGACGCAAATAATGTATTTTAAAAAAACTGACTGTTAAGTTTTGGCGTCGACATGTGGACGCAAAAAATGGTATTATTTGCGTCGACTTTTGGACGCAAATAAATCCTCACTTTTTTGCGTCAACATTATGCATGATTACTTCCGGAAGATCTTTTCCGTCCATATGTCGACGCGAATAATATTTTATTAATTGCGTCACGCATTGTCGACGCAAAAACATTATTTGCGTCCAGTCTTTTGCGTCAACCCTTTTGCGTCGACATGTTGACGCAAATACGTTTTTTGCGTCAACTTTGGCTCTTTTGCGTCGACTTTTTGTTGACGCAAAAAACGTTTTTTCTTGTAGTGTCAATGAATCTTTCATCATGTTCATTTCCAACTACAAATCCATATTTAGAAAAACATTTTTTAATTTTTTTATACAATATTGATGTCATTGCAAAGATCATAAAAATTATTGAATTCAATTTTTTTTTTTTTGCTAAGTTTGACATTATCAGGTTTTATATATATCAATTTTTTCAAACTTAAATCACTGAAATTACTTCTATTCAAGTAATAATTTGAAATTTCAAATTTTTTTTGCTCCAATTTATGGAATTTTACCTAAGTGATTTGGGAATAAATGGGATGCACATATGAGGCGATTTAGGCCAAATATCAGTCATATATTATTTTGCTAGTCTTTTTTTTACCCTGAAAGGCAAACCACCAAAATCAGTGGAGTAAATGTTGGAGAAGATTTTGTTAATGAAGGAAAAGAATATGAGTAACAAAAAAAAGGTGGACCAAACCAAAACCTTTGAATGAGAAATTAGACAAAGTATCTAAAATAAGGAATATTAAATCAGTCAAAATAAATTAATAAATTTCCTCTTAACCGAATTGCTTAGAGATTTAGCCAAAGTCCAAGACGAGAGATGGACCAGATGAATTGCAACTAGCAAATGGGCAGGCCTATTACATATGCCTGAAGTCCCTGAACCATATCCCCTGAAAGAATTTCCTAAATAAGAGTAAAAACGTTTTGAAATTCCAAAATAGGAGTATCGAATCATGTTTTTTATTCCTTAAATAGGAATAATTTGCCAAGTTTGAAAGAAAATGTCATGTTTAAAAGCCTTATAATATCAAACTTGGCAGAAATTTACTCATATTCAGGAAATAAAAAACATGATACTCCTATTTTGGAATTTCAAAACGTTTTTACTCATTTAGGTCAATTTCTGTATCCCCTTCCTAAATCAGTCTCTGGTTTTAGGTGAAAAATACATTGGCCATAGAGCCTATACTAACGTTTACTTGCATATCTTTATTGGTAGATTCTATGGTACCCCAAATGTACTGTACCTTTGTCCAAATGGACCAATAAGAATGATGCAGTTGAATTATTTAAATCTAAATTAAAAGGCATATAATGATTTGGAACAATCAAATGCTTGATAGGTACAATACCCCATTTTTTAAAGGTAGATTCTACGGTACCCATAAGGTACCGTACCTTTGTCCACATGGACCAATCAGAATCATGCAGTTGAATTATTTAAATCTAAATTAAAAGGGATTTAATGATTTGGACCAATCAAATGCATGGTAGGTACGGTACCCCATTTTTTAAATGGGTACCGGAGTTGTCACCTTTTTTAAATGGGTACCTGAGTTGTCACCATTTTTATTTGACAAAATGACCTTTAGAGTCTCATTGGGCAAAGCTCGCTTTCTGTTGCATTATTTGGCTAAATTGATAATAATAGGTCAACTTTGAAGGACAGCCGGCTCACAAGGAATTGACTTTTGCCGGCAAGATGGAATTAATATTTTAATTTATTTTGGTCTTATTAATATTTGAACTGGCAAGATGGCCCAAAAACGCTATATATAAGTGATGAACCCAGTCTCTGTCTATCCTAACACGTACTTAAGGGCATAAAACATCAACTGACTCCAACTGTTATCAAACCATGGATTTGGTCTCTAACCTCTTATCTTTCTTCCTCTTCCTTTCTTTCACTGGCTTCGCCATAGCACTCTGCGCCGAATGGAAAAGAAAGAGGTCGCTGTCGTCTAGAGGCGCGAAACTACCGCCGGGTCCGTCGACGCTCCCTCTCATTGGAAGCATGCACCACCTAGCCGGAGCTTTCCCGCTCCGGCGCTTAAGAGACCTCGCCGAGAAACACGGCCCCCTCATTCACGTCCAGCTCGGCGAGGTCTCGGCCGTCATCGCCTCCTCCCCGGACATGGCGAAGGCCATCTTCAAGACCCATGACCTGGCCTTCGCCTCCCGGCCCAAACTCATGGTCCCGGAGATCGTGGGGTACAACCGGTCCGACATCGTCTTCTCCCCGTACGGGGATTACTGGAGGCAGATGAGGAAGATCTGCATCGTCGAGCTTCTCAGCTCTAAGAACGTGCAGAGCTTCGGGTCCATCCGGCTTGACCAAGTGTCTCGCCTCCTCGACGCCGTCGCCTCCCACGGCGGCCGACCGGTGAATCTGACGGAGCTCGTGTTTCGGTTCACGAGCTCCATGACTTGCCGGTCGGCTTTCGGGAGCGTTTTTGAGGAGGGCGATGAGTTCATCACCCACATAAGAGACGTTCTTGTTTTGCTCGGCGGGTTCGACGTGGCGGACATATTCCCCTCCCTTAAGCTCCTCCACGGGCTCAGCCCAATACGGCGGAAGATCCTCAAGATCCACAAAAGGGTCGACGCCATCCTTAATGGCGTCATCAACGGCCACCAGAAGAGTTTAGACGCCGGGAACAAGGGGAACGGCGAGTCGGGCGGCGAGGATCTGATCGACGTTTTACTCAGGATGAAGCGTTCCGACGGGCTTCAGTTCCCGGTCACCGACGACAGCATCAAGGGCGTCGTGTTCGACATGTTCACCGCCGGGACGGAGACGTCGTCAATGACGATCATCTGGGCGATGGTCGAGATGCTGAGAGCCCCGGCCGTGCTGGCCGAGGCTCAAGCAGAAGTGAGAAGAGCCTTCATTAACAAGAAAGAGTTTGACCTTAAGGATGTGGAAGAGCTGAAATACATGAAACTGGTGGTCAAAGAAACGCTCCGCCTCCACCCGCCGTCGCCGCTCTCAATCCCGAGAGAATGCATAAAGGAGACGGAGATAAACGGGTACACCATCCCGGTCAAAACGTGGATCATGGTCAACGTTTTGTCCATAAGCACTGACCCGGCTTACTGGGAGAATGCGGAAAGCTTTGTTCCGGAGCGGTTCGAGAATAGCAGCGTTGACTTTTTGGGGAATAACTTTGAGTTCCTTCCTTTTGGGAGCGGGAGGAGGATATGCCCTGGCCTTTCCTTTGGCTTGGCAAATGTGTATCTCCCTTTGGCTAAATTGCTCTTTCACTTTGACTGGAAGCTGCCGCGAGGACCGGAGTATTGCCGGACCTTGGATTTGGCCGAATCGTCCGGTATTACTGCCGGGAAGAAGGACGATCTTTATTTAGTAGCTACCCCTTACAATCCACTCTCTTAAATCATAATTAAAAGAGATAATTCTCTAAATAGGACCAAATAATGTTAAAAGTTCAACAATAGGACCTTAATGTTAGGTTATCTTCCGTAGGACTAAAAAGAGTTAGATAGACAAAACTACCCTTAATGAAACTAAATAGGACCAAACAATGCAATTAAAATAATAGAAATAAAAATGACAGCAGGCCTAGACTCTACGATACATCCTCTGCTATAGGAACACAGCCATCACCATCGCCACTGCTGCCGCCTCCGTAAGATCCGCCGCCGCCGGCGATGTCAGCGCCGCCTCCGGCTCCACTGACGTCATCTCTGCCTCTGCCGGAGTCACCGCTGGATGCCTCCACCGGCGTCGCCGCCCCCCTCCACTGGTGTCACTGATGGCCGCCTCCACTGACGTCGCCGCCGGCCGCTTCACCACCGTCCGCCACCAGATCTGAGATCTGATTTGTGATTTGTTAATATTGTCATACAAATGACATCTTGCAATTGTATTGCCATCTTGATGATATTATTGCCATCCTCAAAGAAATAAGATTGACATTTTCAGTTTGAAAAATGGCATTAATGCCTTTCATAAGAGTATTATTGACATCTTTGTATCTTTAGTTTCATAAAAATAGCATTCATTTTCGAAGTGACATTTTCACATTTAGAGGACTAATATGAAAAAGTTAAGTGTCATCTTGCAGTTGAAGTGTTATCATATTGTCTTTATTGCCATCTTGACAGAAATAAATGGCATATTCAGATTGAAAAAATGACATTAATGCCATAAAAATGACATTAATGTCATAAAAATGACATTCATTCTTAAAGTGATTTTTTCATATTCAAAGGAATAATATTATAAAGGTACTAATATTATTCTGAAATTAAGTTCCAATAGATGGTATTTTTTGGGAAAATAATAATAATGATGTTGTTTTCGTTTTCAAAAATAAAAAGAAAACATAAATATCAAACATAAATTTTCATTTTCAAAAATAAATTCGAAAAATAAAAAATCAGAGGAGAAGCAGAACAATGAAGAAGAAGAAGGTTGAGAAAAATAAGAAGAAGAAATAGAAGAGGAGGAGGAGGAGGTGGAAGGAGAAGAAGAGGAGGAGGAATTCGAATCTTACCTATGAGTTCGCTACTGCTCGCCGCCGCCGCCCGCCGCCCGCCGGAGCTCCAGAAGAAAACCACCGTTGATACTTCAAAAATCGGTCGGAGATGGAGGAATTTAATTGTATTGAAAATTCAGAGATATGTGAGAGCTGGAAGATGAAGTTAGGTTGGAGTCAGATCTATTGCTTGAAAGAGCTTATTCCCAGATCTAATTTGGTGCTTGAAGAGAAAAGAGAGGGAGAGAGGAAAGGAGAGAGGAGAGAGAAGCTAAGAGAAATTTTTTTGGTGCGTGTGTATGAGTTGTGCGTGAGAAAAAAGGGTAGAGTGGGAATAAAATAGAAAACAGTCCTATTTTGGGAATAAAAAAACTTGTAGTCCTATTCTTGCATTAATCATCTATTTTAGTCCTATTTAGGTCAATAACTTTAATTAAAACAGTTGATATGTTTAAATTAATGTTGTTATTGAATTTCTAATTATGTTGTACCATGCGTACGATAAAAAAAATATGTTGTTGTACCATGTCGTAACACAATTTATAAAATTTTGTGGTAGAACTTCAATTTGAATTTAGTTATAAATTATTACATTCGTAAGCAAATGCTCCTGAATTAGTGATCTTTTAAGTATTCTCGATAGAATTATTATCGACATTATCTAAACAACTAAGAAATCGCAATTATATATATTTTATAAGTGTGTGACTCATAACCATTCTTTAATCCAATTGAGGTCGCATTTTCTCTTAATTATGTATCTTTCTCATTGTAATTAGCACATCATTAAAAACGGCTCTTTTAAGAGCATATTTAATATAATCTCTCCCCCGATTTTTTTGCTTATTTTCTTGTATTTCATACACGTTATCATCACTGAAATTATCATCTTCGTGTAAGTAAATTTATCACTAATTCATCCAACATATCCGAAAAAAAGATCAAAGGTTGAGAACTATGAACACATTCATATATATTCTCAAAACCGTAAGAATTATGGTCTATGATTGACTAAAAAATGGGATCATCCACATAAAAAAGTTCTAGAATTATACGGAGTATTTAATACTGTGTATAAAAGATACTCAAGGCTGCCCAAAGTGAAAATACCAAATTTGAGGTATTCAACCCAAATAAGCTCTAACCCAACAAAATTTTGTACCAAATTAAAAGGTGCCATAGTGCGTATGAGAGATTCTTGTACCAAAATAAGCTTATTGTTAGCGGTTTAGAATGTTTTTACTTGGACTGTAATTTGTCCCAGACCAGACCAGTCCAGACCAGACCAGTTCAGACCAAATTAGACCAGACCAGACCAGATCAGACTTGGATAGTTATAAAAATACAAAGAAACCAGACCTTACCAGACAAGACCAGACCAGTTCAGACTAGACCAGACCAGATCAGACCAGACCAGACCAGACCAGCAAATTACAGTCCAAGTAAAAACATCCTTAGAATAGGTATTGGCCAAAGAAAATCATTGTTGTATTCATCAATAGCTGACAAAGTATTTATACACAAGGTGGCCGAAAAACACAAGCCCTTGGCCCAAGAAATAATACACAAGACTAAATACAATAAAGAATATACAAGCCCAAAAAATATAGTTCTAACACCCCCCCTCAAGTTGGAGCATGAGGATTGAAGATGCCCAACTTGCTTAATAAGAAAAGAAACTGTCGTTGCCCAAGCGCTTTGGTGAAGATATCAGCTAACTGAGCATCAGTGGAAACGTGATGAGTAACCAAGAGACCGTCTTGAATGGCATCACGAACGTAATGACAATCAACCTCAATGTGTTTCGTGCGTTCATGAAAAACAGGATTTTGGGCGATATGAAGTGCTGATCGACTGTCACAAAAGAGAGTCATAAGAGAAGAATGGGCAATACCGAAAGAGAGAAGAAGGCTTCGTAGACATTTTAATTCGGCAGTAACCGTTGCCATGGACCGATATTCTACCTCGGCAGAAGAGCGGGAAACAATAAGTTGCTTCTTGGTTTTCCAAGAAATAGGAGAATCACCTAGAAAAATCATCCATCCAGTCAAAGAACGACGCGTGAGAGGACAGCTTGCCCAATCCGAATCACACCAGGCAGTAAGATTCAGAGCCGAAGCAGAGGAAAGAATTATTCCCTGACCAGGAGAACCTTTGAGATATCGAACAACGCGTAACGCAGCATGCCAATGTTCCTGCCGAGGGGCCTGCATAAACTGAGATAAAATGTGAACAGCATAGGCCAAGTCAGGCCGTGTGAAAGAAAGATAAATAAGACGGCCCACAAGACGACGATACGATTCAGGATCTGCCAATACATCTCCGGTAGCAAGAGCAAGTGAGTGATTCGGCTCCATAGGACAAGAAGTTGGTTTCGCTCCAAGCAAACCAGCTTCAGAAATAATATCCAAGGTATATTTCCGTTGACAAAGAAAAATGCCATCTGCACTACGAGCAACCTCTATGCCAAGGAAATATCGTAGAACACCCAAATCTTTCATGTGAAAGCAAGAATGCAAATAATGTTTAAAATGAGCAAGAGTAGACGGATTATTGCCAGCAATTATTAAATCATCAACATAAATCAACACATGCAAGCGAATATGATTCTGCTGATAAATGAACAAGGAATAGTCAGATTTAGACTGGCAAAAACCGTATGAACACAAAGTAGTAGTGAGCTTCGCAAACCAGCATCGGGGGGCCTGTCGCAAACCATATAAAGATTTTCTCAGCCGACACACAAGACCAGGCCGAGAATGGTGAAACCCGGGTGGAGGTTTCATATAAACTTCGTCATGTAAATCACCATGAAGAAATGCATTATGAACATCCATCTGGTGAATCTCCCAATTTTTAGCTGCAGCAACAGCTAAAAAAACTCGGACAGTAATCAATACCTTCTGGCAAAAGTTTGGATCAATACATTCAGTCTGATGATTACCGAGTACAACCAGGCGAGCTTTAAGCCGTTCTACTGTCCCGTCTCAGTGGTATTTAATTTTGTAAAGCCACTTGCACCCAAGAGCCCGTTTCCCATCTGGCAACTGAACGAGCTCCCACGTATGATTATTTTCAAGTGCCTGTATTTCTTTTTGCATGGCATTCCGCCAACCAGGATCTGTCATAGCCTCACAAAAAGAACGGGGTTCATGTCCTGTAAGAAGAGCTCCAAGAAACAAACGGTGGCGAGTCGAAATGTTTTCACAATTTAAATAATGTGCTAAAGGATAATGCGTACCTGAGGAACTGAGAGGAACAGATGAAGACGGAGATGGGCTTATAGTCCGAAGGTGGTGTGTGACAAAATCTCTGAGAAGGACTGAAGACCGTTTGGATCGTAAACCACGGCCAAGAGCTGGAACGTCTGCATGGGAAGTAGGTGCCTCGGTTTCTGCATGGGAATGGGTTGTGTTGGCGGTAGCATGGGATTCGGTATGCTCCTCGGCCTCTCCATGTGAGCCATTAGAGTCCGGCGTCACAAGTGTGTCATCATGGAGGGGCACAGGGAGCTCAGACTCGGGCAAGGATAGCGGCGCAGGTTGTTGGTGTTCGAATGGGAAGACATCTTCGTGGAACAATACATCTCGAGAGACAAAAACATCACCCGAGTCACAATCATAAAGTTTCCATCCCTTTTTCCCAGATGGGTATCCAATAAATACTCACTTCCGACTACGAGGAGCAAATTTGTTTCCACGAGACTTATGATTATGAGCAAAAGCTAAACACCCAAAAACTTTCAATTGGGTAAAATTCGGAGCACGGCCAGTAAGAACTTCAAGTGGAGTTTTGTCACCTAATAACCCGGAGGGCGTGCGGTTAATTAGATGAACGGCAGTTAAAACACATTCGCCCCACAGAAAAATAGGAATAGAGGCTTGAAACATCAAAGCACGGGTCACATTTAAAATGTGACGGTGTTTACGTTCCACCCTACCATTCTGTTGAGGTGTCTCAACGCAAGAAGTTTGAAAGAGAATACCATGGCTGTCAAAGTAAGGTAACATGCAATGAAATTCAGTCCCATTATCACTCCGTACAATTTTCACAGACAACTCAAATTGTTTTTCAACCATATATAGTGATAAAAGAGACAAAATAGTGAGAAACTTCCTTTTTGTCACGCAATAAGTATACCCATACAGCTCGGGAAAAATCATCAACCAATGTCAAGAAATAAATAGCATTGCAAGTAGAGGGAGTTTTATAGGGCCCCCACAAATCACAATGAATATATTCCAAACAACGAGTAGCTCGGCTATGACTAATAGGAAAAAAATCACGGACTTGTTTGGCCTACGGACACACCTCGCAGGTTTTATTTAAAGACTTCTTAGCAGAACTAGTAATAATATGAGGTAAAACCTTAAGTACTCGATCTGATGGATGACCCAATCTCCGGTGCCATAACTCAAAATCTGACAAATCCGACTTGTGCACGACATGCAAAGCTGTAACACCACTGAACAAATAAAGCCCATCTCGCCTCTCACCGGCTCTAATCAGGTTCCTCGAGTGTGGGTCCTGAATAGCACAAAATAAATTAGTGAAAATAACGTTACAGGCCAACTATCAATTAATTGTGAGACAGATATGAGGTGGCAATTCAGTCCAGGTACATAAAGCACATG